GGCCTGCTGGTCTTTGCCACGTCATCCGGGGCGCGGGCCATGTGAGCAGGGAAGAAAGGAGCGGCAGCAGGGGAGTGGGTGTACCTGTGGGGGGAGGGGGAGGCGGAGGTGGTGGTGTTTGATGGGGCCACCACCTGGGAGGTGCTGCGCATGCTGGCCAGCCCAGAGAAAGCCAGGTGAGGCGTGGTTTAGTGCGGTGGAATGTGGTGACATGTGGTGATGTGCGGTGCAATGTGGTTAGCTGGGATTTAAGCGGTAGTAGAGCAGCAGTAGCAGTGGGGGAGTAGGTACCCGTGGGGTGAAGGGGATGCAGAGGTGGTGGTGTTTGACGGGGCCACTACTTGGGAGGTGCTGCGCATGCTGGCTAGCCCAGAGAAAGCCAGGTGAAGCATGGTTTAGTGCGGTGTAATGCGATGTTAATTGGTGTAATGTGATGATGTGCAGTGAAGAAATGTGGTTTACAGGCCCAGATTAGATCAGGTGGTAACACCACCGTCCCACCAATCCATCCCAAACCAACTCAACCCATCCGAGCCAGGTGGTATCTGAGGAGGTTCCGTGCCTTAGCAGAGCAAACAAACATTAGGCGTGTGGCTCTGCCCTCCGTGGCCTGCCTACTCGACTCCATTGTTGGCTCCTCCAAAGGGGGGAGTGGTGGGAGTGGTGGGAATGCTGGTGGAAGTGGGGAGGATGGGCAGCGCAGCACAGCGGAGATATGGGAGAAGCTCAACTCTTTCCTCTCTGTAAGTTCCTCTCTGCCCTCCGTGGCCCGCCTACTCGACTCCATTGTTGGCTCCTCCAAAGGGGGGAGTGGTGGGAGCGGCGGGAGCGGTGGGGTTGCATCCGACGAGCAGCGCAGCACGGCGGAGATATGGGAGAAGCTCGACTCCTTCCTCTCTGTGAGTACCGGCACGGCACGGCACCTCTCTCTTGGGACATGGCAGAGGTGTAATAGGAGCAGAGGTGTAATAGGAGCAGAGGTGCAATAGGAGCAGAGGTGCAATATGAGCAGAGGTGCAATAGGAGCAGAGGTGCAATAGGAGCAGAGGTGCAATAGGAGCAGAGGTGCAATAGGAGCAGAGGTGCAATAGGAGCAGAGGTGCAATAGGAGCAGAGGTGCAATAGGAGCAGAGGTGCAATAGGAGCAGAGGTGCAATAGGAGCAGAGGTGCAATAGGAGCAGAGGTGCAATAGGAGCAGAGGTGCAATAGGAGCAGAGGTGCAATAGGAGAAGAGGTGCAATAGGAGATCCCTGGCTGGCTGGAGCCACACGCCCGTCACAGCTGGCGTGTGGATTGACACAATCCTCCAAAGCAGGCAGTGGGAGTAGCAGCGATGCGGGTGGTGGATGGGAGTGGTCGGGAGGATTTTTTTAGACATCTCATCATCTCACTTATTTCACTGTGCCGTCCTTGGCCCCCGCTGCTGTACTCCAAAGCCGGCTCCTCGTCCAAAGGGGGCAATGGGAGTAGCAGCGATGGGGGTGGTGGGAGTGGTGGGGAGGATGGGCAGCGCAGCACGGCGGGGATATGGGAGAAGCTCGACTCTTCCTGACACTGAGTCTGAGCGGGCAGCGTTTCAAAACTCTCTGTGTTGGGAGTGCTGGTCGTAGTGAAGGGGGGGGGGAGGGGGGTGGTGGTTGTGGTGGTGGGGGGGGTGGAAGTGCTGATGTAGAGACTGTTGACTCCTTCCTCTCTCTGAGTGCTGATGTAGAGACTGTTTACTCCTTCCTCTCTATGAGTCTGGGGGCCCGGCACATCAGAAAGCTTTTTGAACCATATCACAACCGCAACCCCCAACTCGTTTCCCTAATCTCTCCGTCCGCCCCTCTCGCTCACCCGTCATCCCTTCTCCCTCCCTACCTGCCCCTCCCAACCCCTCAGAAAGCCGTCTCAGCATTCGCAGACCCCTACCGCACGTCCGTCTTCCTATTGGCCGATGCGGCGAGCCACTCATCAGTCGACACCTGTCGCCGCATCTGGGGCTGCGCAGTGCAGGCAGGCGTGTCCCCTTCAGGCGTCTTCCTACTCCCATCGGAGGTAGCATCTGGGGAAGGGGGACTGGCAGAAAAGTTTTCTCCGCTGCCCGTGGGACAACTGCCCGTGGTGACAGAGGAGGCACCGGCGGCTGTAGCGGCCGCAGCTGGGCAGATGAGCGATGGAGCAGTGACGGTTATGAACGGGGAAGGCGCGGGGAAGGCTCCTCCGGCGGTGGACGTGGACGTGGCGGCGTGCACGGTTCGTCTTTTTCTGCCGGGATTCGACAAGCAAGAGGTCAAGCTGCAACAGGTGAGTGGTGTTGGGTCGGGTTGGCATTGATATTTTCTTTAGGGTTCATCCATACTATTTGCTTCTCTTGGTTGACACTCAATGCCATTCTACCAGGATTCGGCAAGCCGGAGGTCAAGCCGCAACAGGTGAGTCGGTTTGGCTCTTACACATATTTTCACCATGGTTCAAGATACGCCCTCCTCTTATGCGCTTTTCCTTCCTCATCTTGGTGCACTTGGACTCTCAATGACCAACGCTTTCGGGGTTCGACAAGTAAGAGGTTCAGAAGCAGCAGGTGAGTCGGTTTGGTTCTTACACATATTTTCACCATGGTTCAAGATACGCCCTCCTCTTATGCGCTTTTCCTTCCTCATCTTGGTTGACTCCCAATGACCAACGCTTTGGGAATTCGACAGATAAGAGGTTCAGAAGCAGCAGGTGAGTCGGTTTGGCAATGACATGCCCGCTGATTGCCTATTCTTCCCCCTTTTCCTCCCTTCACTCCTCTCCTCCCCTCGTTCCCCTCCTTCACCAGACAATCACCAGTGGAAGGGCGGGGCAGAGCTGTTGGTAGAGGCTGAGGACCAGTGGCGGTGCGTGGAGTTGTTGAGGCATTCTCCAGGGGAAGGTTATCGTGTCATACGCATGCCAAGTTCCCCCAATTCCTTCTCCCCATTACCCCCCCACCCACCCATCGCCAGTGGAAGGGCGGGGCAGAGCTGCTGGTAGAGGCGGGGGACCAAAGGCGGTGTGTGGAGCTGCCTCGAGCCGTTCAAGGGAAGGTGATCGGGGCAAAATTCGACCCCGCAGGATTCCTTATAATCACACTCAAGCCTGCATCAAATTAGCGCAAGGGCCTCAGCATGGTGTAGGTTTGAGGGGGAAAGGGCATACAGCCGCTGCAGTGCCGTATTCCCCCTGACAAAGGCCCCAAGGAACTTTTAGTTTTTTTGTACTTGTAGTTGTACATCGGCAACGCGTTCGACCTTGAAGCGAAACCCCGTCAACTGAATTTCGTTGGCGTTTCGCCGATGTGCTCTAGTTGGCTGGTTGGCTCTGCCCCTTCTTCACCATCTAATTCACACCACACAGCACAGCACCGCATACTGTACAGAATTTCTCTCACCTTCGTCCGACCATGCCTCAGCAGCAGCAGCACCGCTCTCTAGCCTCCCCGTGTGCGACTCGACGGCAGCGGATAAACCAATCAGAGACACGCAATCCGCGGTCCGCGCTGAAATTCCCGAATTTCCAGATCCAACCCGACTTCCTCATGCAGAAAGGCCAGACCACCACTGTCTCAGATCAGAAATGTATAAATCGAGCAGGAGAAATCCGAAAGGGCATCGACTCTCAAATTAGCCTCTGCATTGAATTATACTCTCAAAACAGCACACTCACGTACATTGCTCCCTCCGTCCTCAATTCTAATTACGCGCTGCTCACTGCGCCTTTCGTTTCGTCTCACATTTCAAAGTGATACTTCCCGAGATAGCTCACCAGTTAGCACTTCTGTTAGTAGCTCCGCGTATTTCGCGTCCTAGCTCGGCAATCATGGCGCGCACTGCAGCACCTTTCACGCTAGGGCTTGTTGCTCTCCTCGTCACAGGTGAGCCACCTCCAGGAGTGTTTGCAAAGCGCGGTTTTCAGCACTGAACATTCAAGCCGTTTCCGTTGCGTAATAGCGTTGTCAGTTGCCTTTCGTGCTCCGAAACTCATCACTCCTCTTTTTGAATATTTGCAGTGCTTTTGGCAACACAACGAGTCGAAGCAGGCCGGTTTCTCCCGGGCGTCGGCAGTCTACCCACCAACCGACTTCCACCCGGCTTGAATTCAGCCATCGCCGCGGCAGCCGCAGCAGCGAGCAGCAGCAGCCCCGCAGCGGCGCTCAACTCGACGCTCTCGGGCCTCCAGTCGTCCCTCAACGGCCAGATCGCGTCTCTCGACGCGCTTCTCAAGAAATCGCTCGATCAGATCTCGGCGGCCCTCAACAGCAACGCTTCCGCAGACGCCGCACTCCAGGCGCAAATATCCGCGCTGAAAGCCAACCTCGCCACTTTAAACGCCAGCCTCGTTAATCTAAACGCGCTTAACATCTCAGGGTCGAATCTGAACTTCACGGATCTGATTTCCCAGATCTCCGGCCTTCAATCCAACATCTCATCGATCAGCATCGGCATCGCCGCTCTGAACAAGGACCTGGCAGGAATAATCGGCTCGGGCGTAGGCTCGGGCGCAGGCTCGCGCGTAGGCTTGGCGGGCGTGTCGAGTGCAGCCACCACAGCGGCTTACGCGAGTCGGAACGCGGCGATCCGCGCGGCGGTGAGGCAGCGGCTGGCAGCTGTGACGCAGCGGGTCGCGGGGCTCAACGGGAACGTGTCCGCGCTCGCCGGGATGCTCAACGCCTTGAATTCCGCTCTCAACGGCGCTCTCAACGGAGCTCTCAGAGTCGCGAATCTTCTGCCCCAGCAGGCGGGCATGCTGCGTGCCGTGCTGACGTCATGCAACGGCCTGCTGTCTCTCCAAGCCGGCGCTGCTGACATTCAGATCCTCAAGATGTGAGTCACTCGCGTTGGCTCGAGTTGACCCGTTGACTTGATGAATCCTGCTACATCGATTACTTGAGCCTTGTTGAATCCTGCTGAATCACGTTTGCCCTTGTCGGCTCAATGTTAAACCGTGTTCCCTTCCCTCATCTCCTTCCACCTTCCCTCCTCCTCCCCCAATGCAGTGGCTCGGACTATCTGCTCACATACTACCTGTACGCAGCAGGAGTGACCAAGGCCCCGGACTCGCAGGCCATCTTCAAGGGCAACGCCTGCGGCACCGCTGCTGCTTCAGCAGCCCTCGCCCTGCCTGGCACGTGGGTGCCCATGAGCCCGGTGTCCTGGTCGCTGGCCAATGTCGTGAGGGCGTCAGCTGCTGACGTGGCGGATGTGCTGGCATCGATCCAAGGGATCACCAATGATGACCTGTTCCTCGGATTCTCCGGTGCTGACGGGGCGCTCTCAGGGAGAGTGATTGGTGGGAAGTTGTAATATGGTTGAAAAGGGATATGGATGATGATTGAGAGATGGTGGGGGAACATTGCAGAAGCACCATTCTTGCATGCAGCTGCTCTTGTAAATACGTGCAGCTACTTCAGGCTGTAGAGTGAATGCTTTTGTAATGTTCCATCCATCCATCAAGAGTTCATTTTACAAGCATGAATTGACAGCTGCAAGAACCATCAGTGCACTTTTTGTGGTGGTAGGAGGATTTCTGAGGCTCCTTAATGGTGTGCTTGGTATTCACATCAGCAAGTAACAGCAGGCCCTAACAGTTGAGTGGTGTCAGTGTGTTGGGCTGAAAAAGCCCTTAGGATCTTTACAGGGGTGAACTCTGGGTAGAGTTGGTGTAGTAGCGGAAGCGTTAATAAAGAGTTGTGAACCACCTTGCGCTAGTATGTGAGGGCAAAGTAAGTTGATTAAAGCAAGGAGATACAGGATTATATAAGAGTACAAGGAATACGAAGAGATACAGTTATAACTTCTTTACTGTTGCTGTTGCGGTTCGATACAGTGACGACTCGGGAAACCACTCTGTAGCGAGTCAGTTGTGTGTCCTTGCTGTCGCGCTGTACTTGTCAGGTCAAAGGTCGCTGACCTTTGCCTTTCGCCTAACCTCCAGCGGTTACTTCAACCTCCGAGGGTTGACTCGCTGGTGCCTCGATATGCTTTGCTTCGCTTGTGTCTTAGTGTTTCGACACGACAGAGGCGCTTAGGACCGATTGTTTCCAACACTCCCCTTTGCTTCTGGAGCGTCGCTGACGTGGCTCTGTCTAGTCAGCAGCATGCAGTATTCGAACTTCTGCTTTTCGAGCTTCTTGGTCAGGTAGTCAGCTGCCATCTCGGACGTGGGACAGTATGACAGCTCGAGCCTTCCCTTCTCGATCTCGTCCTTCATGAAGAAATATGGCAGGGCGATGTGTTTCGTCCTGTTCGCGAAGCCGTTCTTGTTGGCGATGCGAATTGCCGATTGGTTGTCGCAGAACAGGGTAAAGTTGGGTAACTCGGCTAACTTCGCTTCTTCCAGTAGCTCGCGAAGGTAGAGTCCTTCCTTGGTGGCTGAGGAGAGTGCAATGTATTCTGCTTCAGGTGACGAGAGAGCAATTAATTCCAGCTTGCTCGATTGCCAGGAGATAGGTCCGATAGGCTCGAAGCGGTAGATGTAGCCGGTGCGCGGTCGTCAGTTGTCGGAGTCGCCCGCGTGATCTGCGTTGACGTAACCGATTAGCTTAGGCGTTGTAGTTGCGCTCTTATGGTAAGTCAGGCCGACCGTCGGGGTACTGACAAGGTAGTGAAGAGCGCGGTCGAGCTCCCCCAGATGTCCCGCTTCAGGCTTCATGAGGTGGGTGGCGAGCTGGCTTGCAGAGTAGGATAGATCTGGGCAGCAGGTGACAGTTGCGAAGAGAAGGCAGCCCAACTTTCTCTGGTAGTCGCGTATGCCGGCGGGCTTGAGTAGAGCGGAGCCTTCCTTGTTGTTAACTGTCGTGTAGCGGTACGGTGTGGAGATGACAGTCGATGTGAGTGCGAAACGCTTAACGATGGTGTCGGCATATTTTGCGGCGCTGAGGTAGATAGCGTCTTCCTCTTCCCGGATGTTGAGGCCGAGGTACTGTGTAACGGTAGATGAGACAGTGAGTGTGAGGTCTTGTTGTAGCTCCCCTTCGAACCAGGTTGTAATGCCGTCAGTTTAGCCGATGTAGAGAAGATCGTCTACATAGACGATTAGCAGGATCTAGTTGGTACCCTTCGTGAGCCGGTACATGCCCTGGTCGTGCCGCAATCGCTTGAAGCCGATGCGAATGAGGCGAGCGTGTAGGTATTGTTGCCTTGGTCGTGGAGCTTGCTTAATGTTGTAGAGCGACTTGAGTAGTTGACAGACGTGATTCGAGTTTGTGCTCTTGTCGTGTGGTAGCTCGACAAAAATCTCTGCGTCAATAGGTGCGTAGAGGAATGCGTTAGCGACGTCGATTTGCCGGAGCTTCTTCTTCTTCATGGCGGCGATCGCGAGAAGGATGCGTAGCGAGGTGTGTCGGCTGACCGGAGCGAATGTTTCGGTGAAATCGTGTCCGTGCTCTTGGTCGAAGCCGCGTACGACCCAGCGTGCCTTAAATTTGTCGATGGTGCCGTCAGCCTTTGTCTTCACACGGAAGACCCACTTCCCAATGAGCACTGTCTTGTTCCGTGCCACGCTGATAGGAACCACTTTCCACGTGTTGCGTTCCTCCACTGCCTTCAGCTCCTTGTCCATGGCTTCGCGCCATTTTTCCTTATGCTCCCCCCCAAGAGCCTGTTGAGCCATCGCGGCCTCTTTAGGAGTGGTGGTGCCGTGGACTGCGGTGACGAGTCCAAGAATCTGCAGTCCACTCCGTGAGTAGCGGGGAAGATTTACGTCCTCATGATAAGCTGCTTCATCTCCCGCTTCTGGATCAGGTATGAAGTTCGGTCCTACTCGTTCTGCTTCGTTGGTGTTGACTGTCGCAGGTGTTACGTAACCGCTGTCGGCGAAATGGTAGAAGGTTTCGGCGTTGACACTTTCGCGAGGGCTATCTTCGTCCATGGGAACGTTGATGGAGCAGAACGAAAGAGGTTCGGCTTCTTCTGATGCGTTGTCCACATTCTGCTCGTCCCAGTCAGCTTCGTCCGCTGCTGAGGCGAAGGCTCTGTCAGCACGAAAACCACCTGTGGGATCTTCGTCTTCTTGCAGGCTAGCAAGGTATGTCTGGGGTGTGAGTCGTTCGTAGAAAATTACGTCACGTGATGCTACTGTTTCCTTGGAGTCGACGTCAAAGATTTTCCATGCGTTGTAGTTCTTTTTGATTCCCAGGTGTAGTCCCCACTTAGCTCGTTGAGAAAATCGGCCCGCTTGTGCTGCTGGGGGTCGGTACTGTACCATGCATCCGAATACTCGTAACATTTTTGTGCTGCCCTGTTTCCCTGTCCATAGCAGATGCGGTGATGCGTTGTTCGGAAGCGATGATGACGACACCAAGTTGTGCAGCATGACGGCGTGGTCCATTGGCGCAGGCCACTGGTGGTTGGGTAGCCGCATGCCACGTAACAGTTTGCGCAGCTGTTCTGCAAGGTCCTGTTCATTCTTTCTGCTACGCCTTGCTGCTGATGGGCGTAGGGAAGGGAGATGAGCCGCTTGATTCCCCTTTGCATCACGTACTGCGTGAATCACTGAGAGGTGTATTCTCCTCTTCCGTCGGACTGGAAGCTTTTCAGTTTCACGCCTGATTCTCTCTCTGGTACTGGTAGCCAGGCAACGAATGATGCGAATGCGATGTCGCTGCTAGGGAGGCTTAGGTGCCAGACGTAACGGGTGGCGGCGTCGATGAAGGTGATCGTGTAGTTGTATGTTACTTGTCCTGGTTCCCGGTTGAACAGGATGTTGCTATACACCTTCTCGAGTGGTGCGTACGCGGGTGCGCTAGGGTTGTGATGAGACGTAAACGGTCGATGTGGTAAGTCACCTTCAGGGCAGGTGAAGCACGTTCCGCGTACTAGTTGAAGTTCTTGTCCGTCGGTCAGTAGGAGTGAGTCCTTGTCGAGTACTCCTGCTCTTATCGTATTGTTTAATACTGTGTTGCTTGGGTGTCCCATCCTTGCGTGCCAGGTGCTTTCGTCGGCACGATGTCCGGATGATCGTTGGTACATATCGGAGTTGGAGTAGAAGTTGGCGGTGAAGTTGGCGCTGACAAAATTAGAAAAAAAGAAGAGGGTTGAACTAGCAGGAATGAGGATACAAATAGCAAACCCTAGAAGGGTTGTACTCGCTATAGAGCACCCCACTACAGGCTAGAACATAAGATAACATTCTGACAGGCGCTACGACGAACTTCTCGTGGTGCTAGGTGTAGTTGTTGCGCGGGTGTCGGTGGTGTGTCGTCGATGAGGAGCGGTGTCCTGCAATTGGTGTTGACGTTCCTGCTACTGCCGTTGATGGTTCTGCTACTGCCGATGTTGTCTCTGCTGCTGCCGATGTTGTCTATGTTGCTGCCGATGTTGTTTTTGCTGCTGCCGATGTTGTCTCTGCTGCTGCCGATGTTGTCTTTGGTGCTGCTGATGTTGTCTGAATTCTTGCTAACGCCCTTGTTCTTTCTGCTTCGGGGATGGTGTGTGAATACCAGAAGCCTTCTGGACTGAAGTCTGGATCAAGGTCTGGAGGGTGTGTCCAGTTGGTGAAGTTAACGATGGCGTCGCTGTCGGCGGTGCCAAGGTCAGGAACGAAATCAAGAACGAAGACGTTGTTCTTGAGGACCGCCTTGCCGATGTAGAGTCCTCCTCTCCCGTGATACAGCTTGAATTCTTGGGTGGTGCTGTCTGCTTCGAGGTGAATCCCCTTCGCCATTAGCTGACTGATGCTCAGTAAGTTGTAGCCGAGTCCCTTCGCGATTGATACTTTTGACATCTGCAATACAACGTTTGTTTCCCTTGACTAAAGTTGAACTACACCTTGTCGTCGTGTTCGCAGGTTCTGATTGTTGGCAACAGTAATCACAACTTCTCGTTGAAGTTGGTGTTCTCGTTGAACGAAGCGTCCCGAGGAGCACATGTGTTGTCCGCAGCAGCTGTCCAAGAACCATGTGTCCCTTCCAGATTGTTCGCTTTGGGCGATGGCGGCGTTTGTCCAGTTCGGCTGAAGTGACTCGCGGCGGGGTGTGGTTTTGTCGAGTTGCTCTTCCGGTGAGTAGTGTGGTGGTGACTCGGTGATGCAGGAGTCACTCAGCTTTGCCATGCAGGTGACGATGTTTCTTGCTCCTTGTGCAGGTTGTCGTGTTAAGGTCGTTGAAGCTTGAATCTGAGTCGTGGGATTTGGTTGCGTTGAGGCCATTTGGCTGCTTGAAAGTCGAAGTTGCCTCTATGGAGTTGTTGACTGTTGACGATTCGGGCAGTGCGTACGTGGGTGTCCTGAAGTTTTGCAGATGTGGCAGAACGGAGGTACTGGCTTCGGTTGTTGCTGCCGGTTGTTGTTGTTGTTGTAGCGTCGG